GGGGGGGCGAGCAGGCGCTCACGCCAGGGCGACGGCCTGCTCCCGCGCCTCGCGCTTGCCGATGGCAAGCTGCTGCGGCGTGGCGACCTCCACGATTGACGTCGGCGCGACGTCTGCGGCGTCCGCCGGGTGCTGCATGCGCCGCAGCTCGGGCGGCGCGTCGGATGGCGGGCCGCTGCGTTGTGGGCAGCGATGAGAGATGAGAGGGTTTGCGAGTGCGATGCGATGCAACGCACGTTGGAGTTGCAAGGACTGTAAGGGTCACCCAAAAGCAGGGTAGGTAGGTGGCAGCGGCGGAGCAGCGGGCCGGGCGCGGCGCAGGGAGGCGCGCACCTGATTGGGATCAACACGTCGCGCCGCGTGTCGCGCGCAGGCGACTCTGCCCGCGCCTGCCGCACCGGCAGACCGGCCTTGGGCAGGGGAGCGTGCTGCGGGGGCGTGGGCCGCGCCGGCTGCTTGGACGCGTCGGGGGCAGGCGGCGCGCCCTGTGGGACGGAGGTGTCACCGGCGAACGCGGCCACCGGCGGTGCAGCACAGGCCGCCACCGCCTGCCATGGGTGCTGCGAGTTGTGTCGGTGCAACGCGGGCGCTTGCCCTGATAAGAGGCCTCCAAGCGAAAAAGGATAGCCATGTCTGGGGCGTAGGCTAGGTCTGCCGCAGCACATCTTAGAGGCGCTAGGTGGTTCGACGGCGCACGAGCGTCGTTGCGGTGCGCACCTGCGCCGCACAGCCCAGGAACGTCCTGTGAGCGACTGACAAACGTGCGATGCCTACGTGCACGCCGCTAGGCCTAGCCGTGCGCGTGGCAACCGCGTTTACACCCCGCATCGCTGCGTTCGTTGCACTGCGAGGGCTCCAGCGATGTCACGGACGATAGTACATACAATAGTGACGATCGCTGATAGTCTGTGCAATGATAGGGGCGGAAAAGCGGCCGGTTTGGATGCAGGAATCGCGCGGTGACATGCACTTGCCGTAGGCTAGACCCAGCATCAGATAAATTTGCAAGGCACGTGATGATTTGATCACAACTGCTTATGGCGCAACTACCACCTGCCGGGACGGAGTGCCTCTCGAGCAGCTGGACCAGCTTTACAAGACCCACAACAATGATGTATGCAATATTTTCAGTGCATAAACCCCGTACCCTACGCCGCGCACTACTCATCGTGACACAAGGGCAGCGCTGGTGCCTTTCGGCGCCAACTTGAAAACTGTGCAGGGCAGGCGATCTCGTGTGCGGAAACGACAATGGGCCGCCTCCAATTCAAGCCCCCCTCCCTTGCAGCGCCGTCAAATGAGGCTGCCGTGCGATCCCAACAGCTTCCCACTCCAGGTGTCGGCGGCGGCGCCAGCTGCGGCGCTGGACGAGCCCCGTTTCGACAGCCCGGGCTCCGCGCACCGTTCCGCTCTCAGGCAGCCGCCTCATGCGGCGCCACGCCTGCCAAGCGCCCGGCGCCAGGTGCACCCACAGCTGAGCCCGCGGCGGCCCGCGAGGCATGCGCGGCGACCGAGGCCAAGACAGGGGCCGAGGGCCCTGCAGCGACCGGTAGCAGCTGCCAGCAGCAGAGCCCCTCCGCTTTCAGCAGCGTCTCCGGCCTGAAGAAGCCCAGAAGGGCCGCCCCTGCCGCCACGCCCCGCGCGATTGCTCTCCCTGCCACGGCGTCCGCGGGCATGCCGCCCTCAATCACAGAACCAGTGCCATTAGCAGGATGTGCTGGGGCGGGAAGCATGGGGCTGCAGCCGCCAGACATGCTTGCGCAGGTGCAGCACGTTGCAGACATGGGGAGACGGCTGACGGAGGACAGCAGCAGCGGAGCTTGCGACTGGCCAGCAGCGCGCGGCAGCCCCCATGCGGCTTGCATGGCGAAAAGTGCGGCGTCCCCAGCACGGGGGCATGGTGAGGAGCGGCACCCGCCGCAGCAGCCACAGGAGCAGCAACAGCAGCAGCAGGAGGAGGAGGGGCAGCGGCAGGAAAGGAAGGTGGAGGATGATGCCAGGGCGCCCGTGCCACTGGAAGCAGCGAGCGGCGAGGTGCAGATTTCCAGTGCCACGAAAAGTGCTGAGTGCAGGCGTCTCATGCAACCTTCTCCGGACCCGGCTGCGGCCGCCTCACTCTGCACGCCGCCCGTGAGCGACCCCTCTCGCCTGGTGCGTGGAGGCATCAGAGCGCTATGCCAGCGTAGCATGGGCCATGCGACCTGCACATCGCCGCATGCCGTCACCAGAATAGACATGCTGGCTCAAGGCACCCCCCAGCAGCGGTATGTGTCGTTCTCGGGCGCGCCCCACCCAACTCCGCTGTACAGTACTTACCACAAGCATCTTGCCCTCCAACTACCCAGGCCTTGCCACTGGACGCCATGGAGCCCTTTGCTGAGAGTGCCGGGCTGCTGGGCTTCCGCCTGGCTATGCCAGGCCTGACAGACATCCTCGGTAAGCAGCAAGAGAAGAGGCCGTTCAGGCTGCGTGGCGGGGAGGGCAACTTCCCATTGCTGTGGTTGCCTCATCCATCACTGCAGATTGCCTCTCAAGCCGCACCGCATCCTCTGCGCCACCTCTTGCCGCGTGGCGCAGGCGCCTTGCCTCGCTGCCCTGCCGATGCTGCGGCCCTCCCCGCGGCCGGCCTCGTTCGGCGGGAGGCTGTCGTGCGCCTGCGCGCGCTGCTCATGCCCCCACCGGCGCACAGCGGCGACGGGAGCCGAAAGAAGCTTCAGGCTGCCACTGCCGGCTTCGCCGCTGCCCCATTGTGGAGGGTCGCAATGGTGCAGCTGCATAGCGCACTAGCGGCGGACGGGGCGCACAGCGGGCCGCCTGTGGTTTGGGGGTCGCAGCAGCGCGACCCCGCGCTTTGGCCAAGTGTCAAGTCACCAGAGGAGCCAGTGGTCATCACTGAGTGGGGCTTGGCGGCCGAGGAGGCAGGCACGTGCGATGTGGGCCATGAAGTCGCCGCCACGCAGGGCCATGAGCAGGGGAGTGGCGGGGAGGTGGTGGTGACGACATCAACCGGTTGGGATGCGCCGCAGGCCTACGAGGCGGCCGCGGACTGCCACGAGGAGTTTGGTGGCACAGGCAATGGTGAGGGGGTCCCTGCACCGAGGGCGCTCCTAGCGGACGAGTGCATGAAGAGCGACTGCCACGCGGAGGAGAAAGGGGCGGCGGACGGCACAGCGGTGCCACGCACAGATGCAGGAGGCGAGGCGGGCAGCGGCGGTTGGGGCTTGGATGCCTTCAGCAGCGGCGACGGGGGCTGCGACGGCGAGAGCATTGCCGCAGTTGCTGCGGCCGGCGTCGCATTGGACTGCGCCGGGTTTTGTGGTCTTGACATTGCCGCGCTGCGCGCGCTTTGCGGGTGACCATTGTGCTGCGCAGTGGATCGCGCGCTGGCTGCTGTGGCGTGCAGGCTGTGCTTTGCCGCCCTGGATTGCATGATGTGTCCTCTTGCCTCTTACAGTCTGCAAGCCACTGTCAACTGCAACCCCGGCAGCTTGACCACTCCACCCCACTGAAGCCATAGGCAGGCCTTTTGATGCTTGTCTCGTAGTCAATCACGTCCTTCATTCTCAAACACCACACACCCACATGCACATTTATATCATGTAAAATTGCATTTGCGCTGAGGACTTGGAACTCTAACACGACTTCCAAGGCGCACTGCTAGTGCGGTGCTCAAGTTCTTGGTGGGTGCCAGAGGGTGCATGACGCGGTCACGTTGCAGGCAGGTTGCGCGTGGCCGGCAGGCGAGAGCGCATGATCAATCCAAGACTCAGTATCGGAGCATGCAATGTCAATGGCAGAGCAAAGGGTAAGTGACGTGCGGGGGGTGACGACACGTTGGTCTGGTTACTTGAGATCAGTGTAGATCCGGCCGCTGACACACCTACTTAGACTGTCGACGGGAGTATTCGCAGCATTCGCGCCCACAACTGCCTCGTGATCTTGATCTCCCTCGATAGCCACCTGGCACCTCACAGCCTGGATCACCCATTGCCAGAGCGACGACTCACACGCAACAGACTTGAAATCTGAAGTTTAAAACCAGCTGCTCGTGCTGCAACCTCTGCACATTGCGTCGCGGACGCGCAAAGCGCACGCCTCAGAGGCGCAATCTTGGGACCGCCGCCATGTCAAAGCTTGAGTTTCTGGCAGGATCGGCAGTGCTGCTCTTGCCGCGCGGCAACCTGCCACTGCTGGCGGGCATCACGGCCGTCAAAGGCGCAGGCGAGCAGGGGTCCAGTTGCTGTAAGGAGTTTGTGGGTTGAGCAACAGCAGCGGCACCCGGGGACGACGCAGGCAGGCTGTGCATGCATGCATGCACCCATGCCACCGGACAGCACTTGGGCACTGCGCACATGCATCAGCGTCTGCTTTTACTTGTGCCTCAACGTACACCTCTTGCCTGTCTTGCGCAAAGCTGACAGGGGAGTGCACAGGGCACCTGCTGTCCCCTTGAGACCTCTGACCGCCTCGTCGTGTGCATCCACTTGTGCCCCCTTTCCCCGTGAACCCCCAGGGGCGCTCGCCAAGCACCTGCGGGACCGCCGCAACCGCAACGGGGACAGCGCCGACTCAGACGCCGACGCCGACGTCGCCGCCGCGGCCGCCCTGCTCGCGGCCCCCGCAACCAACGGCGCCGACGCGGCCGGCGGCAAGCGGCCCAAGACGGCCGCGTACGATGCGACCCACGTGCCCCCGGTGACGCTGGAGTGGTCAGACCTGGGCTACGAGCTCACGACTAAGGGCGGTGACAAGAAACAGATCCTCAAGGGCGTGCGGGGCTCCGCCGCGCCCGGCCGGCTGCTGGCAATCATGTGAGGGTGACATGCAGCCGCACTGCGCGGCAATGCAAGCTGGTGTGGTGCTGCAGCCAATGCGCACACGGGCATGCGCATGTGGCTCTTTCAGCCATTGCCTAGAGGGTACCTTGACAGCAAAATGTGCCACATGATGAGGCAGGATGGGCCCTTGCAAATCACCGACTCCCAAGTGCTGCAACGGGCGCGCTTGGTGCGCCAGTTGGTCAACATGAGGCACACCCGCTGCATGCCCTGACCTCTTGCGGCGCCATGCTCTTGCCGCCATGTGCTGTCCAGGGGCCCGAGCGGCAGCGGCAAGACGTCCCTGCTCAATATGCTGGCCGGGCAGGTGGGCGCCAGCTCCAAGGTCCGGCTGTCAGGTGAGGCGTATGGGCGGGCGGGCTGGACACAGCTTCAGGGTGGGGCTTGGCGGGGCGTACAGTGTCCCGTGGGGGGCCGCGGCAGGCGGGAAGGTGAAGGGTGGGTGCGACGTGCTCCGTCTGTGCTTGGCTGGTTGCGCACGCGTGCACTGCCCGGACTGTCTCCCCCCGCCTGCGGCTTGCGGCCGCTTGATCCACGCTCGGAGCGCCTCTGACGACCCACCCCTTCCAACAGGCCGCATCACGGTCAACGGCGAGGAGGCGACGGCGGCCAACCACCGCCAGGCGTACGTGGAGCAGCAGGACCAGTTCTACTCCATGCTCACTGGTGGGGAGGCAGGGGCAGGGGGCCGATATCAGTGTTTTTGGGTGGAGGGCTTGTGGGCCCAAGGCCGGGGGTGACTGCTTGTGTGCATTGCGTTGGGCGTGAGCATGCATGTGGCCGGGCGCCTGTACTTGTCACATCTTTCTCTGTGCTGGCGCGTGCGCGCGTGTGCGTTCGTGTGTGTGCGTGTGCGTGCAACACACGTGTGCATGTGCAGTCACATATGTGTCGCTGAATAGCACTCATGCCGCCCTCACCCTGCAGTCCGCGAGACCCTGAACACGGCGGCCGCGCTGCAGCTGCCCCACTACATCGTGAGCCGCCGCAGCGACACACCGCACCCGCGCCTCACCTCGTTTGCTCCCGCGGCCTCGCATATCGCTCTCCCTTTTTGGTGGCCGCCCTCGGCTCGCCAGTAGCACATAAGTGGCTTGTGGTGGCACTCCCGCGATCATCTCATCGCTTCGCAGCTGGCCCGTTGGAGGGTGGGCAGTAAACCCGCCCTCCCCTCCCCTCTCCGCGCTCGCCCCCTTGGACAGGGCGCCGAGAAGCGCGACGAGTACATCTCACAGCTCATCAGCCTGCTGGGGCTGGCCAAGGTGTGAGTCATCGAGGGTTTGAGTGGCGTGTTCGCGCAAACGTTATTTTGTGCGTGTGCATGTGCGTGTACGTGTGCGTGTGAGCGTTCACAGCACGGGGGTATGATGGTTGATGGCGCCACCCGGCAATCAGATGGAGTCTATGAGTTTGAATTTTATTCATAAGTAGGTGCAGATCCATGCTCTCGTTTGTCCTTGGTACCACTCTTCCGGCTTCCGACGCGCCTGGCGGCACTGCTGACTTACACCACACATCAGCACGTTCCCCCATCCTTTTCCCCCCTCGCCCCAGGTGGTGGACTCACGTGTGGGCAATGAGAAGGTCAGGGGCCTGTCAGGCGGCGAGAAGAAGCGCCTCGCGATCGGCTGCGAGCTCATCAGGTGTGTCGGACCGCAGCAGGCAGCCCAACAGTCGGGTGGACGGAGCAGTGAGGAGTGATTCAAGAGGAGGCGTGCAGCGCGATGATGGCACGTAGGCGAACCACTGTGAGATCTGATGTTTTGCATTGCGTTGCACGGCACCCTGTCAGTTGACATGCTTGCGCTCGCTGTAGCCCTTCCATTGTCATGCGGCGGTCCTCCCTTGCCTCCGCCCCGCACGCCAACACGTGAGCGCAGCGCCCCGAGTGTGATGTTCCTGGACGAGCCCACCACCGGCCTCGACGCCTTCATGTCAGAGCAGGTGAAGCCCGTTCTGCCAGATTGCGTCAAATCAGATCTGATGTGATCTCGGACCAGATCACACCCCTTTCGTGCAGACCTGGGCTGTCCTACATGGTTGCTGGCTTGCATCATTGCAATAAAGAAGTGATCAAGTGCCTGGGTAGTTTGCATGATCACTTGCAAACCTGACTTCCGCTCTTAACCCCCTCACCCGCCTGTCTCACACAGGTCATGTCCACCCTCAAGCACCTCGCCGCCACCGGCCACACCGTCGTCGCCTCCATCCACCAGCCCCGCAGCAGCATATTCGCGCTGTTCGACGACCTGCTGCTGCTCGCGGAGGGCGCGGTCGCGTACCACGGGCCGGCGGACAAGGTGCTCGACCACTTTGCGGCGCTGGGGCACGCCTGCCCAGAGCACTACAACCCGGCAGGTGCAGGCGCGGGCCGCGTGCAAATCGGCGGCGACGGCTACGACCCCTGCTTTTGGCGTTGCTGCTCTGGGCGTTGTTGCAGATGCGGGTACTAGCATGCTGTGCGGAGAGTTTGTGAGGGCAGAAGGACAGGCAAATGCAGCCACATCTTGTCTCGTGTCAAAGTGACCGTTTTCCCCCACAACGCAGCGCCGCGTTGCATGATGCGTGCGAGTGCCGACCCTGGCACCCTGCGCTCAACCTGTAATCTAACCTGCCACCCCACCTTGACTCATCACAAATCCGTGTGCCCCCCAGACTTCCTGGCCGACCTCATCGCCATCGATTACTCATCGCCAGAGACCGAGGCAGACACCCGCAAGCGCGTGAAGGTGCGCTGCTTGGCGGCCCCCGTTTCTCGCACTCTTGATCCATGCACTGCCCATATTGAGGACCAGAATCCCTGCAGATAGAGCCCCACCCAGAAGGCGCCCTCTTTCGCAGGCTTCCATCCTCACCGTGCAGATTGCCATCATTCGCAGGCACCCCGTACGACGCACTTTCAACACAATGCAGACCCTTTCCTGTCGCAGTTCCCCTGTCTTGTCGTCTCTCACCCTCTGCACGTGTCACGCCCTCTCCTACAGGGTCTGGTTGACGCGTGGCAGCAGCGCGGGGCGTCGGGCCAGGGGGGGACCCAGGCCGGCAGCACCAGTGACCTCGTGCCGGCGCCGCAGAAGCCGCGGGGGAAGTGGTACAAGTGCGTGGGGCTCGCCGGCGGTGACCACCCGCCTGGCTGGGGTGGCTGGGCGCTTTGCATGGCCCGCCAGGCCGTGACGGGCTTGCGACAAGCTCCACGTCTGTGCCAGGCGCTGGATTCGGGCGCAGCACTACCAGAGTTGTGCACTGCGTGGGGACTTCTGTCCGGCGTCCAGACTTGCAGCATGTCAATAGTCTGAACCCCTTGCACCCGCCCGCGCAGGCAGTTCGGCCTGCTGTTCCGCCGCAGCTGGCGGCAGGTGACGCGCGACAAGGCCACGGCCGTGGCGCGGCTGATGAGCAACCTGAGTAGCGCCATCGTGTTTGGGGCGATTTACTTCAGGATGGGGCGCAGCCAGTCGAGCATACAGGACAGGCTGGGGCTGCTGCAGGTGAGGGGGTGCGCGTTTGGTGTCAACGTGTGTGTTTTGGGAGGTATGTGCGTGCGTGCGCGCATGTGTGTGCGAGCCTTGAGTGTGCATGAGGGGGCGGGGGTGTGGTGGCATGTAAAGGAGCTGAGACGCATGCGTTGTGTTGCGTCTTGAAGCATGCGCATGCTGTTCAGCATTGATCTTTTGGTCTGCGCGAGGCGCAGGCAGCTCAAGTGCAGGTTCACCCCAGCAACTCCTTTTTGCCATCCTCTTGCTCCCGCACGTCGATCATGCCTCAGCACCCCCCACGCACCCTCGTCCCGCCCCGCCCCCTCACCCCCCTGCAGGTGTCGGCCATCAACACGGCCATGTCGTCCCTGATCAAGACACTGGGCGTTTTCCCCACGGTGCGAGGGGAGGGGAGGGCCGGTTTGTTTTGGGGGGAGTGGCAGCTTTCGGCCCCAGCAGTGGAACATGGGGGTTCCCAGGGTCCGCTGCAGCCCGCTGGTCATAAAGCGCACGCGTTTCCCTCTACTTCAAGCAACCCAAACGGCATCTTCGGCTGTGGCGCGCCTGCTGTGGCCGGACTCGCCTCCGCCAACTTCTCCTCGCAGCAACATAGCAGTTCCCAAAGGCGGGGGCACCCCACCCTTCCAGGCTTACACCTCCCGCTGCACCAATGTCGGGGCGCTGAGCTCTGACTCAAGGCCTTGACGCCCCGCCTCCCGCCCCTCCCCCGCGAATGCAGGAGCGCGTGCTGGTGCAGCGCGAGCGCCGCCGCGCCTCCTACTCCCTTCTGCCCTACCTCGGGTGAGGCACCCTAGGACCCTACCTGATGCTCCCCCCCCCATGCTGCCTCAGCTCCGCTACGCGCCACACCCTGTCTATCCCTTTTGAGCGCCTCCGATCAGCACGTCTTGCCTCTGCCCTTTTCACATCCATTGATCTCACCTCGCTCAGCTGCCTCGCCCCCCCATTTTCACGGCTCTACTAACATCGCCCCTTTGCCCCACCCCCAATCGACCTGTACCCCTGCCCC